CCCTTCCATTATAGTTGCATTTATAGCAGTATATATAGGCTTACATTAGGAAACACCCAAAGTTAATCAACACAACGAGTTAAAAAAGCAGAGATAATTACAGCTCCTGTCCGTATCCAAGACGGTCAGGAATTCAGTTTACAATAATTACTCTAAGTCCCAACTCTTCCTGCCAGGGTCACTATTTAACCAGTGGCTAAATGAAAACCACAGTTGATTGGGATGGGAAATCTTGGCAATGGCGAGGACTATTTCTCCTCCTACAATCCTCATCAAATAAGGGGCATACAACAAATTACTTGTCTCCAATCTGCAATTCTCCCCTCCACCCATCTGTAAATTTGAATTAATTAATAAACGCCCTTATGTTTTCAAGGTCAGGGAAAATGAAAAGCACTCAGGAAAATGGATGCACTGAAAGCGAAGGGTGTTTGTGGGTGAGGGTTTTTTATGTAAATGGAAAATCTGTGAGGCAGAAGCTCCTTCATCTGTGCCATGAGTGCTTAAGTTAGAAAACTTAAAAGGAAATACAGGGAATGCAAATAAATTATGCTTGGAATAAATATGACCTTCCCTATAAAAAGTCTAAGGCTTTATGGAAGTCTCAAAACACACAACAAGGCCAAAGGCATCAGTAAGTCAGGTTTCTCCAGGCAAATTCACTCGTGCTGTCCATTGTTTGTCCCTGCTGTCTGTGGGCCAGCTCTGCTTTCTATCAGCACTGGCTGGTCATAAAACACCTGGCACAGGGCTCTTCCAGTGACAACTGTGATACACAAACCACACAACTACATGGCTACTTTTTTTTGGTCACATAACATACACTGCTACGTGAGTTTCCACAGCCTCCTTGTAAATCTCAAGCATCCTCACAAATAATACAATTTAGGGAGTGAGATGAAGGTGTCATTTAGGTGTACAACATTTGGGGAGTTAGAAATGTCAGCATTAGATAAACAGAAACAATACATTATGGAATCCATTACTGGACACACAGTGAAACTGAATGACTTCTGAAAAAAAGGGATAATTGAAGGCTTCACTGGAGAAAACATTTTGACTTTGGAAAATGAGAAGGATCAGCTGCTTAAAATTCTGGAAGACTCTGAGTCAGAAGGACCCTTTAATTCCTGTGGTGCATAAAGGCTGGGCTCTCAATCTAATCTTAATCTTGCTATGGCCACTGAAAAGAAAAGAGAGACTATGAGGTATAACTGCAAATTACAATTCCAGCCTGATGCTTCATACAAGTCATCAGACTTCACTCCTACCTTAGGACAATACTTGAAATACATTCAGTCAGAAACGCACTGATTTGGTTTCTGTTTTTCACTTGAAAATTTAAAGCTCATTGCAAGGGGTTGATTTTAGCAAGGAAAAAAGTGAAACAGGATAAAACCCATGAGTAAAATTAGGTGACTGCAGTTCACAACGGCTGGGGAATGAGGTCTCCCAATAGGGCTGTGAACGTCTGACGCTCCTCGGGACAGCAGAGGCCACGGTACCAGAGCCCAGAACACTGCACTTCAAATTTCTTCTTAAGGAAACTCTAAGTTCATGTCTCTCAATGCAGACATACGCTCACAGAACTGGATGAAGACATTTTTGTGATGGGTACAGAATTGCTACGCAATAATCAAATACTGAGCTGCTGTAATTTCATTAGCACTGAGAGCTTTGGGGAGTGAGGCTGCCGACTGTCAGATCACATTCAGATGACAGTAGGTACAACTAACTATGTGAAACATTGATTAATGGAATGAACCTGTCAGTTACTGAGGAAGTCTCACAACCACTAACAAAGCACCTAAAGCATAAGGCAATACTGTTTATTATAAAAATCAAAGCAGTAAATCAAGTATTCCGAATAGAACATTTTCACTAGCCTGTTATTTATGCCTCTGTGAGTAATCCTATTTATTCCTTTAACACAGCTGGGTAGAAGCAGATGGTAAGTTGTCAGTATCACAGGGAAACCTCCAGAATTTCTAAAATGCACCTTTTGTTGCTTATTTTATCCATTTCATGCATCTGGTAGCCTCTATTTTGTTAATATATTATTTGTCCAATTTGCAGAAATTACTTCAGTTCATCCTTTGCACTTGTGGCAAATTTATGCTCACATCTGACAATAGTTATGGTAATGTGGTTTTATTATTGCTATTATCACCACCATTATTATTGCAAATCAATAATGTGGATGGCTCAGTGAACTACCTAGTACCAAACCCAGCTGCCATACATACAGTCTATATAACCCAGACTAGTAAATTACTGCATCATTTTGCTTTACTCCCAAATAATAACAAATGCCTTCTCACCTTCTCTACAGACAAAACAATTATTAGCACATTATCGAATCCTTACTGTGCACAAACAGAACAGATCTCTCTTCCTGCACAGATCTCACTGCTTCTGGCAGAATTTCTCTAACTTATTAACAGAGCTATGTACGTTTGCAGTGAGAGAATTAACTTTTACCACTGCAGTCTGTGAAGTCTCAGGCAAATCTGAAGTACACCACAATGATAAACCCTCAGCACGTACATGGGATTTGCTATCTCATCTCTGATGAAAGACATTTTAATCTGTCAGGCTCACCTACCAATCTCCTTCTTCTTCATTTTATTCTGTAATTTAAAAAAACTGGCAACCTCTGTAGCCTTTTACAAAAAAACATTTTAACCATCTTCCTGCATGTCTACTCTCTGAATACAGAACTAATCATGCAATTCCCCCGAAGAAATCAGAATCAGCAAGAGCTTGTGTATCAGTCTTAACGCAATGCTCATTTCTCCTGGCTCAAGACTTACTTTATACAGGTATAAAAATGTAATGCTTTCATATCCAAAAACTAAAAGCAAATTAGCAGACCCTAGTCAAGGATAAACCTACTATTAAAAATCAAAGGGTGCTAGAATCACGTTTAAGGTTCAGAATGCAAAGTAAACACAGCTGTGACTGGTCTCTCTGGATGAGCATAGCAGGAGTTACTGCTCAGTCACGGTCGAGTTGCCCTGGCTGAGCTTCAGGTCCAGCTAAACTACAGGTACTGTATTCGCTATGGAGCTGCCCTGACAAAGCTGCGAAGGAAAGAAATTTGCAGAGTCTTTTGCACACTGCAGTTGGCTTCGTATCCCCCTAATAACCCCTCCTTTTCACTTGCCATTTCAATAAGACATTCTCTTTAAGGGATTTCACGGGAGTATGTGATGCTTTTGGTTTACTTCTGCCTCTTTTGAAACTGCATTTTGAAATTTTTGTCTTGGTAAGAGACTGAGCTTTTGTTTTCCTCCTACAGAAGCCTTTAGCACATCTGCCAGAAATGACTCTTGGAAACTAGATGCTAGAAGATGCTGCAAACAAACCATATTCCACAAAACTTCAGCTGAATTAGGGGAAAATAGATTCAATATATGTACTCATACTATCTTTCTCCAACAATAATATTTAGCTGCTTCTGTAGTTTCCAAGAAAGTCTCAAGTCTACAGGCCAATTCTGAATGTTTGACAAGCACAATTTGAGAAACCCTCATGGGGAAGCAGTGATTAGAGAAGGCAACTGGCAGCTTGGAGGCCCACACTGTATTCCCTGTTTCATTACTGATTTTTCCAGATGACCTTGTCAAGTCATTTAATGCCTTTCTGCCTGTGTTTCCCTATCTGCAAAACATTCAGATAAACACCATCCTTTTGAAAACACTGTAAAATTGTTTACTACGGAAAGAGTTCCTCAGATGTTAATCTGGCTCTCGGGATGTAACATCAGATGAAAAACACAACAGCTACATGACACAAACGTCAATCTAATATTTCTAACAGATGAAACCATCGCAGTAGAAGCCATAGGTTAACCTTGTACCTGAAGGTTCTACTTCAGATGAAGCAAAATATGGTTTTACTTCAGATGAAGTAAAAATTAGGTAGTTACTCATTCCATTTTAACCTTAATCCTATCACCCAAGCCAGCATCAGAATTGCAAACCATAAAGGTAACAAAAGGCAAAAAAGCTGGCATAAACATAATTGTTCTGCTTAGTTTCACGGTTCTGACTATTTAGCCAAACTTTGCCTTGATCAAGAATGTGCAGCTGGCAGTAGGTAATGCTCAGAACTGGCATTAAAGGTACAGGTAGAGGACCCTCAAGCACACAAGAGGTTTAATAGCAGCTAGTGGTGACCAGCATCCTCCTGAGTCCATCCAGGTCAGGAGACTCTTGTACATCTTCCTGAATGGTAACTGCCTCTTCCATGCCCCCTCCATGACCTTGGCTGGCTAATGCACAGGTTTTTATCGTTAATGGGCCAAGATACATACTATAAATGGAATACCTAAGTGCAGTCTTATTATGAGTCATTTCACCATCGCTCTATTTCTAGAGAAAGTGTAGCATTACATAATTCCAGCAGCAACCTCTTAACAGAGAGGAAGCAAAATGGGAAGGGAGAGGAGTGCAATTTCAATTTATTTAGCCAGCTGTACACACCTAGGCTGGCCAACAACATGTAACACACACTGAAAAGAAGGAAGCTTTTTGACATTTAACACAAATCCCACTTCAGGTACCACAAAAGCACTGTTGGAAGGTCTGTGAAGTGCGCATAGCACCTTGCACCAAGGAACAAAAAGGCAACTTCGAGTTTAGGACAGCTTTTTACAGGGACTTGGACATATTTCACCTGAGGAAGGATGCACACTGATATCGCGACCGGCTCCCATAGGCATTTCACGGAGTGTAGTAATGGAGCGCGGGCGACTACGCCATCGCCTCCTTCACGCCGCGCAGCCCTCACACCGTCCGCCCTCTCCCGACAAAATGGCGGCCGCGCGTGCCCCGGCCTCCGCACTTACCTTCCCGCCTCACGCGGAGGCTGCTCTCTGATTGGCGAGCAAGTCCCCCACGCGCTCTCTCTTCCCTCCTATTGGCTCCTGCTTCCCGCTCACCCCCTGCGGGCCCGCCGCCGGCGCCGCGCTTCCTCCCCTCAGGGCAGGGACGGCGATGGCGGGCAGCGCTCCTAGCTCCGGGCCGGGACAGGCCTTGGCGCCGGGCGGCTCCGGCGATACCTCCCTCCTCGGCAGCGCCACGACGTGGCCCTTGCAGCGCTACGGCCGCTTCCTACCCCCGACGGATGGAGACAGTGAAGGGCAAAACACCTCCTCCTGGAAGGTGACGGGTGGTGCGGGGTAGACCGGCTGGTTGGCTTTGCTTTAACTGGGGTTTAGGAGGCCGCTGTGTAGCAAGCAGTAATAAGCGAGGCCTTTGCAGGTGTCTTTTTGCAAGTCCACAGCTAATGCAGGAATCGGGGGAGATTTTGCTTCACGAATTAATGTGAATACATCCGTGATCTGATAGATAGTGACGCGGGGTTTTATTTATTCCTTCCATCAGCAGTGACCCATGGTATTAAAAACTATAGATTGAGTTGGAAGAGTCCGGATGGTTGTTTAAAGTAGTTAAATCTGTACATGAAGTTATAATTAGTAAAAAAATTCTTAAATAGGCCTCCTGTCTTAGGGGAGTGGAGGGCAAGCTGCATTATTGAGGGGTAAATTACACAGCTGACTTTTAGTACTGACCTTTTGAAACCTCTTATTTTGCACTAGAAATGGAAAATGTCGATTCTGTGCTTACAGGGCTAGATTTTTATTTTGTCTATCTCTTTAAAGGTTTTTGAGTCAAATGAAGAATCAGGCCATCTTATTCTTACCATTGTTGTATCTGGCCATTTCTTTATTTCCCAAGGACGAACAGTACTGGTAAGTTTCTCGTGTATAAAGAATGTTTCTCCTTTCATGTTAGCATCAGTATTAACTTCATTTCCCTTCTCAGCCCACGGAAAGGAAACTGACAATTTTATTTTGCTTGTGGAAATTCTATTGTCCTGCTTTCTCTACGTTATCAGGATAATACTAAACGCATTATTTCATTCTGAGGATCAGTGTTTCTTCTGTTGCTCTAAAAATCTAGGTTAAGACGTACTACTAAGTACTGCTGATGTTGAAAGATATGTGGGTTTTTTCAAGATTCTTCTCCCTCAGAAAACAAAAAATAACTGTTAAGAAATAATAAACTGTTAAGAAATAGATATGCTGATGTTGAAAGATATGTGGGTTTTTTCTTCTCCCTCAGAAAACAGAAAATAACTGTTAAGAAATAGATCAAAATGTGACTATAATTTCCCATATGATTTGCTATATGACCCAGCTGTTTTTTTGCCAATGACCTGTTAGTATTTCGGTTTTGATAATTTGTTTTATCAAAGGGTATGGTTTTTTCCAATGTTGGGTAATGTGATCTAACATACACCTTAAATTCATGGAGACAAAATAACAGCTTCAGAGTTGTGTCAGCTGCTTTTCCTGTAGCCTGTACTTAAGTGTGACCAGCAACTAAACTGTAAAGACTTGACAGTGACACCAGAGAGGTCACACCAGAAACACTCCATCTAGAAGGAGTTGGTTTGATGCTAGTGACAGAGCAGGCCTCTGCTGGAGAGTGAAATCAGGTGTGTTCAGTACATATAGCTGATACTAACCAGTGGAAATAAATAAAATAGATATAATAATATCTAAATATAAAAAAGGCTGATAAGTATATTAGAAAGCTATTACAAGCCACTGAAAGATGCTGCAGTGTTAAAATAACGGAGCCTTTTTTTTAATACAGAATATATAAGAGAGTATGTTGTAGCTTTAAATACATATAAGCTTATAAATTAGTTTTTGCCGTTGTCAGCTGCTTTTCCTGTAGCCTGTACTTATGCATGACCAGCGACTAAACCGTAAAGACTTGACAGTGACACCAAGGAGGTCACACCAGAAACACTCCATCTAGAAGGAGTTGGTTTGATGCTAGTGACAGAGCAGGCCTCTGCTGGAGAGTGAAATCAGGTGTGTTCAGTACATATAGCTGATACTAACCAGTGGAAATAAATAAAATAGATATAATAATATCTAAATATAAAAAAGGCTGATAAGTATATTAGAAAGCTATTACAAGCCACTGAAAGATGCTGCAGTGTTAAAATAACGGAGCCTTTTTTTTAATACAGAATATATAAGAGAGTATGTTGTAGCTTTAAATACATATAAGCTTATAAATTAGTTTTTGCCGTGCCTCATAAAAAGTCTGAAACTTAAAGAAGTATCTTGTAACTGCAGGAGGAGAACCATAGGAGTTGGTTTGATGCTAGTGACAGAGCAGATCTCTGCTGGAGAGTGGAATCAGGTGTGCTCAGTACATATCGCTGATACTAATAGATATAATAATATCTAAATATAAAAAAGGCTGATAAGTATATTAGAAAGCTATTACAAGCCACTGAAAGATGCTGCAGTGTTAAAATAACAGAGCCTTTTTTTTTAATACATAATATATAAGAGAGTATGTTGTAGCTTTAAATACATATAAGCTTATAAATTAGTTTTTGCCGTGCCTCATAAAAAGTCTGAAACTTAAAGAAATATCTTGTAGCTACAGGAGGAGAACCACGGATACCCTTGAATTTTTTTGGCATGTGAGTGCGTTAAGAATATTAAACAGATAATGAATGAGCTGGTAGAGAACTGTCAGTCTGGCTATCCCTCGTATGAGACGTGGTGTTTGGCTCACAAGTTTTGTGAGGATGAGTTGAATGTTCTTGGACAAGGTAAAAATGGAACATGGGAAGTATTTCAGCAGTTGCGCTGAATAAGAAAAAGGAACGGAGTAATTGAAAGTCAAGAGTCGCGCTGAATAAGAAAAAGGAACGGAGTAATTGAAAGTTGAGATAAATAGGCAAAATAAATGCAACTGAAATGAGACTTGCTGCTGTCTCTGGCCAAATTCAGGTTGGAATGAATCAGTGCAGGATGCACCTCTCCTGGGGCTGGTCCTGATTTCAGTATCCCCGTGAGACAGCTGTAAGTGTTTAGTAACTAGCAGATTCCTACTACTTTATAGAATGTCCTTGAAATAACCATATAAAGGCTAACCGAAAGTAAGCTTTAATAACAAACTAAAGAGCAAGGAAGACACAGACAAAAACTGTAGTCCTTCAAAGACTGTGCCTGGCAAAGACTGAATCTGGCAAGTGACAATGGGCAGATGAAGCGTGCTGTCGTAAGGGCTGAGTGCGGGAAGTATAAGAGAAGCTTTATGAAGACTTGGCTGAGAAAAGCACTTCCTTGCAGCTCTTGGGTTTAGTGGCTAGTGAAGCTTTCAGGCAGCTGCCTTGCTTGAAATGCCAGATGAGGAATTTCTGAGGTCTGTCAGGTCTGATTCAGCTTCTGAGAGACACTAAGATACTGCAGTAACGATTGCAGCCTAAGAATAGTGCAGAATAGAGGTGGAAGAGACATGTTTGGCAATTGTGACCGATACCTGATACTGAGAGTTTAAAATTAAAAAAAAAAAAGTGGCTGTTTTATTAAAAACCAAAACGTATTTATTTTGGCAATGCTTCTATACCACCCTTAAGGCCAATGCCACCACCGTCTTACTAAGCTTTAGAGAAAGGGTGTACCAAACTGGTGTCGTGCATTTTAAAACCTGATTGTCAGTTCTTTTGGGTGGACTTCTTCAAGTTCATGTCACTGGGGTCACGCTGCAGGTGTGTTCTGTGCAGACAGAACTAACCTAGTGTGAAATGCATCGGTACGACATGCCTTATGCCTATTTATATTTCTCAGAGGTTGGAGCAGTTGCCATCCTGCCTCCATTCCTCTTAAGGCTCGCTGAAAAACCTAGCAAATGCCAATCCCCTAGTCCTGACCATGGGTGGGCATCTGCAGAGTGATATTAGGCTTCCTTTTTATAAGGGATTTGGTCCAGCACATCTGGCTTGGCTTTACTGCTTAGGCTTGTTCCTTAAGCACATGCCCTCCCAGAAATGTGTCCCTTTTCCCAACACTATGCAGTGATAAAATTCTTCTTCCTGGGATGGGCCCAATCTACAGGTATCTTTTTAGTATTTGAAGAACGGTCTGTGGGATCTCTTTAGGAAAGCAGCTGGTGCCATCAAACAGTAAGGTGATCCATGAGAAGGACAGCACAGCCAGTGATGCTGTTGGCCAGTAGCTGATAGCAGCAGTGATATCGAAATAAGTATGACCATTACTAGATCTCTGAATGGTTTTCAAGGAGCAGGCAGGACACTAGAGACTCAGTGTTGTTGTCCAAGGACAGTTTATGCCACAGTCTTTGGACAGAAGTCTCCTAAGGCTTGTTGACAGCAGGAGCAGCTTACAATGCAGTAGACTCCTATCTAGCCAGAACTGCCCAGGCCACTGGTGAAATTCTGCAAACCCCTTATCAAGGTGCTGTATAACACAAAAGTTGCAATATTGTGCAGTCTGTGTTATTGCTGTAGAATTAATTGGACTGTAGAAATGGTTAATCTCACTGGTTCCATCTCCCTCTAGTCTCCAGCTCTCAGGAGTTGTCAGAAACCTGTCACAATATTTAAACAGGCTTTGCACGACTAAGTACATATAGTTCTTCTGAATCTGTCACGGACTAAATCCTCTCAGTGGGGCTCCGTGATAACGGACGTTTTGTCTCGGTGGATAATGCAGAAGTTTCTGCTCCAGAGGGAACGTATCGAGTTTGATAGAATGCACTTGTTGGAGTGATTCAGCTCATGTTCTCACTTCGTACACTGATTCCTATTTTTTGGCCTGGGCTACTGAATATTTCCTTTTTATTGCCAAGGTGTTCTCCAACACCTCCGCGCTGCCTTACTCACTTGCATTGAAATTCCCTCTGCTGTACTTACAGAAGTGTTTCTTGCTATGTAGTAACTGCATCCTTTAAGTTGTTGATGTCTAGTCTTTTGATCTATCTTCTAATCCCTACTTTTCAGCCCGTTTGATGTGGTGTGGGCTTCTCGTTTTGAGGGAACTGGATAACAATTACTGCAGCTTTATACCGTGTTACCTCTGTGTAGGAGCACAGTGAGGTATGAGATCTGCATCCCAGGGACACCGTTTCCTTCTCAACTTGAATAATGATATTGTATTTTTGTAAAATTTCTGTGGATGAATAATAAAGGTGTTTTTTTCTGCTCTAACAGTAATCCAAGGAAGAACTGAACTGCTAACTAAATTCAAGCATTCATGTTTCTAACATTATTTTTTTGACTGCAGCAGTAATGATAGAGCAGGAATCCTTACCCAACTCTGAGAATTTTAACATGATTATCCTAAAGAATAGGGTTTTCTCTAAAAAAAATTTTTCATCCAGCATATGTAACAAAGAAAATTTATTAACCGGATGCTTTTAAAATGGGTCCTACTATATAATGATAAATTTTTATCTCTTCTGGTTTAAAATTGGCAAGGAATGTAGTAAAATCAGTGCAAATAGATGCAAACTATCTTGGTTTGTACCCTCTATTTTCTTGAGGAAGATAAAAGTCAGAGTGCATCTGTTCTTCAGTGGTTTGTTATACAAAAAAAGTCAGAGTGCATCTGTTCTTCAGTGGTGTGTGCGTTTTACAAAAGCCCAAACGAGCCTTTTTAGCTGCCAGCAAGCTCTGTCTTATGCTGATAATACTCTGGGTGGATGTTTTTTAAAAAGCCCAGCAAAAAAAAAAAAAAAAAATCAGTGTCACATACTGAAAAGTGTGAACTTCCAGACTTTGTCTGCTTTCTGTCACACGTAGAACTTTTCTTTGTTCCTCCTTCTGCAGTGAACAGTGATGTTAAATGACCTAACACTTGTCTGAACTCTGTGCTCGTCAGCTTCGTAGTTAGTTCCTGCTAAGCTTGGCTCAGTT